CATATATCTAAAACAATAAATTATGAAATTTTTCAAAGGATATATGGGAGTGGAAGGGATAGATGGTAAATATTTCATATATATATATATATATATATATATATATATATATATATATATATATATATATATAGTAATAAAACTGAACCGTACGTGGTAAAAACTAGCTACTCATAAAAGAATAATGGGAAACAGAAGACTACTTGTCCTTAAAGGCCATAAAGGGTATCTTCTTTTTTTTACCCTTTAAATTTCTTGAGAAAGTGGTAAAGCTATATATATATACATGGAGGTTAATTGACAGAAGAAGTTGTCGGTGTGAATTGTACGATCCACTGCTGCAAGCTAAGTATGAGAAGTGAGAAGTATATACAGTAGTCAGCTAGCTATCAGTTAGCTAGGGAGAATTTTTACAGCAGCATCTTAGCTTGTGGATGGCCATGTCCTGCTTTTTAGCTTGAGCATGCATGCTTATAGAAACCGACAAAATTTATTTAATTTGCACACTATTTTGCCAACTTATTTTTACTCCCTCCATTCACCCTAAATCTTTCCAGAAATTATTCACAGGATCAAACTTAACTCACTTTATTGGTTTATTTCTACTATTCATTTCATAAAATAATACTATAATCTTGTTACCATTAGTCGGAAAACCTTTTATGTGAGTTATTTTTAGATTTTACATTTTTATGTGAATTGAAAATACATTTTTATTATGAGATAATTTTTAGTGAAAGAAGGGAGTATGGGAGTATTTATTTTTTAAAAAACTAGTTTCCGAGTAGTTTCCTTTATTTTGCAATGTTGGGGACATGCTTTGGTGGAGGATTGACCTAACAATATCTTTGAAGTGAGAAAAAAGGCACTTGGATAATGATTCCCTTTAATTTCTTCCCCCCTTCTACCCCTTTCTTCTACTTGAAAAAATACCCTTGTATTGCCACTTATTATGCCTTCCTGTTTTGATCCTTTTTTTGTTGCACTATGATTATAATGTACTACCTCCGTTTCTTAAAAGAGTTCCTCTTTTGACTTTGGAGGAAAATAAGAAAGTGTTAAATTGTAGTTGACTTTCCAATTTTACCCTTGATGTGATGGGTAAAAGTAAGATGTGATAGTTTAGTTGTTAGTGAAAAAGTATGATGTGATAGATAGGGTATGAAAAAGTAGAGGTAAAAGTGGTTTTTTAATAGAAAGGAGAAGTGTTTTAAGAAAAACAAAAAAAATGAAAGAGGAAGGGTTTTAAGAAACGGAGGGAGTACAATATATACCTCTCACCCAAAATAATACTTCTTCCATTCCCAATTAATTGACCTATTTACTCTTCAAAATTTTCGTGAATGTTTGTTTGTCCATATATATGCGTTTTCATTGATTATATGAAAATGAAATAATCACTTATTTTATAAAACTTTTGATGTAGTTTTAAATATATATAAGTTAAAAATTACATCAAAATTATATTTATTTTCTAGTGAAAGAGACCACAAAGTTCAAACTAGAACGATGGTTTTGGGGCGGTGGGGAATATTTCATTTGAGTTAGGTTACAATTTTGGTCTCATATGAATATTCTTTTTGTTGAAAGTAGTTCTATTTTTTGTTTAATTTTTAATTGCTAAATTACAATTTTAGTCTTGTAAATATATAGATTTTTTTTTTTTAAAAAAAGTCCACCATTTTATTTAGAATTTTGAGTCATCTTTCTACCAAAAGCTTGTTTCTTTTCCATAGAATCCCATTGTGGCTCCACTATGCCCATACTTCAAAAGATTTAATACTTGAGTTGGATTAATTACTTGAAAAATAATTAATAATTAAGTTCAATTTTCACTTCCAAACAGAAAAACTAATTATAATAGTGTGGACTTAAAACAATCCATGAATTTTGCACAATAAATATATATTATTAACAATTTTATCAAATTTTTTTAGAATCTAACTTGAATACACCCCCTAGTCGTTTTATAATCAGCTTTGAATTTAGTTTGATTTTTTTGTCTTTAAATCTCATGTGTTTTGTATTCATATACCTAAAGTGATATTGTTGCGTTGAATTAACTATGGGAATTGGGAAAAAAACTAAACTAGGAGTAAAACATGAACAAAATACTAAAATAGGAGCTTCATATTTTTTATCCACAAATTAAGAGTACAAAACTAATAATGCTAATATATAGTACCAAAAAATAGAGTGGAATGTCACTATACAATGTCATAATATCAAATTGTAAACTTTTATTCTATAGATAAAAATATGAAACTCCTAATTTCAAAGAGGGACTAGGAGGGAAGAGAGGTAGGACACCCGATAAAGGAAGTGGAGATGAGGACCCAAAGAGACAAGAGTATGGGAATTGGTTTTCTTGAAACTTGACTTGTCGGGAGATATGGACCCGTTTTGTGGTGGGATCATAGCACCAGTATCCCTTGGCTAATGAATCATAACCAAGAGACACGCAACGTTTAATTTGGACTTTGGCTAAAACTTATTTTCGATTTCATGGCGAAGACAAGGATAGGCTAGACACCCAAAAACACGAAGAAGGGAATAGTCGGGAGGAGTGTGATGGAGAGCTTCGTAGGGGGAAATGTTGTGGAAGGATCTTTTGGGCAATCAATTGATTAAGAAATTTGTTGCTGCTAAAGCATCGACCCAAAAGGTGACAGGAAGGGATGCCGTACATAGAAGGGCGACTAGTGTTTCAACAAGATGACGATGTTTGCATTCCGCAACCCCATTTTCCTCGGGAGTATAGGGACAAGACTTTTGGTGGAGAACACCCAACTGTTTTAAAAATAATTCGGATTTGTGGTTAACATATTCTCGACCATTGTCTATTCGGAAAATTTTGATGGTAGTTTGAAATTGATTTTGAAGCATATGTTGAAAACTTTTAAAGGCATCATATGGTTCAGATTTGTGACGAAGAGGATATAACCAACAGAATTTGGTAAAATCATCAATAAAATTAATGTAAAAATTATATCCCCTAAACGAGGGTACAGAAGTAGGTCCCCATACATCAGAATAAACTAATTGAAAAGGAAATGGAGTATATGTTCTTTGTGTAGAAAATGAAAGTAATTTTGGGTTTCCGCGTCAAGCTTTGATAATTAATTTCTTGTTATTTACTCTTCAATAATTCTACGAATTTTTATTAACTTTAAAAATTGTACTAACCCTCTCTGGACTTTTAAACATATTGTACCAATAGTCCCTCTGTGTCAGATTTAGGAGTCGTTTATTACACGCTTATATCACACATGAGTTCTGAAATATGTCATTTTCAAACATTATTTTCTGTATTTTTAACGACTTTAAATCCTAGATAGTTATTCTATATTTAGCCATCGGCAGCCGAATTTGAAGGCTGGACATAAGTCGATAAAGCTCGTCATCAATCGACCAACCTCTTCATCAGTCCAAGTCATCTCCATCAAGCTTCAATACGTGTATTGATGAGCGTGTCATTAACCCACGTCCAAATCTGGCACAGAGGTATGATTGGTACAACATTTTTAAAATTAAGTTCAGGGGTATTGGTGCGATTTTTAAAGTTCGGAGTGAATCCGTGCAGTTTTTGAAAAACTCAAGGGTAAATGGTGCAAAAAACTCTTACAATAACTATGATAAAAACTAATTTTATAATTTATATTTGCTGCATCCGTAAAAGAAATATTTGTTTCTAAAATAAAGTTCTTTTTTATTTACTTTCTTTAAAAATTGATATAGAATTTTTTTATATGTTAACATGCATCACATTTTTTTTGCAAAAAGAGATGACATGCCTTTGTTATTTTATCAATTGGTCAATAAAAATAAATTAGTAAAAGATGTTATTGTAACTTTGAAGTACTTGAAAGAATTATTTGGGAGGAAGTTCTCTGTATATTGAATTGGTTTGTGAAACTTGTTTTAAATACAAAGATTTAACCCTCTTTATATAGGGAGAGGGTAAAGTAAACAAGAAAATTCATATTCCTACTAAAATAAGAATTAAACAAACTAGGAAAGATACTAAATACTAAACATAATCCAACTAGGAAAGATACTAAACCTAATCTCAAAGGGATTCGGTTTCTTTCTTCAATCCCGCTTCTTCTTCTGTCTCTAACATTTTCCTTATTCCATCATGTTTCCTTCTTTTATCTCTAAGAGTACTAGCATGAAATCTATTCTCAAGATAGAAGGAGTAAATTTTATATTTTTAAGAATGTATTTGAAGAAAAATTAATAGTCAAATTTATCAAGACCGTTTGTAGTTCAACATTTTGGGACATAAAAAGTAGTTAGAACAAATCTTTTCACCCCACTTTAGCCCTCATACACTCATAGATGTACAATAATGCATTGTTCATTATCTCTGTATGTCTATATGGAGTGGAAGGACGTGCATAGTATGATATAGACCAACGTATAGAATGGATTGGCGAACGCTCGCACCTAAGTTTTGTAGGTTTTATATATTTATTATATGCTTAATTTATTAGAAATATTCTTTTCGTTCATAAATTTTCTTCTTATTTGATGTTTCATGATCTTCGATGTACAGAGTAATATTTTAATTATTAATATTTTTACGAACAGAGAGGTAGAGATCATCAATTTTATGAACGGAGCATCATACGACCCTCGAGCCATACCATAACATTGCTTAGTCATGTCAAGGAAACCAAAGTGTTATTTGTATATAGATATATACGGAGTAGTATTTTGTAAAAACAAGATATTTCAAAAGTAAATTTCGAAATAAATGTATTCATATAGTGTTGTATCATTACACAATATTAATGTACTTTTTCTGCATTTTCTTATCGAAATTTAAAACAATTGACCAAAAAAGTCAAATGGGAACAAATAAAACTTCCAGATTAGTTATAATTTGAATTTAATACTATTAGAGTTTTTTAAAATTTAATTATTAGAGTAAGTAGAAAATATAAATGGTGTTTCAAATGATGGGAAGTGTTTTTGGGAAAAAGGGGTAAAGTTTTAGGGAGTATTACCATTTATAAGAGAAATCAAAATTACTGGTAATAATAATGGACAATTTACACATTACACTAGAAATGCAAAAATTAATGAACTACTTCAACCTAACAGCATTGCCAATATCAAACCAGATTTGTTTGAAAACCTCTATGATCAAATCATGGTACTCATTGGAATTCATGGACAGATAGCAAGCCAGAAGATTCTCCAATTCCTTTGATCCCTTTATGTTGTTCTCCACTATCATCTCCACCATTGATTCTCTGAAATCCCTCTTTGGGTCCTTTGATGATTTCACGACGGCGAAGCTTTCTGGCACCCCGCTCTTTCCCGACGACACGCTTCTCCTCCCCTGCATTCTCCGGTGCCCGATTCTCGGAGAGTTCGTTCTCAGCTTCAGCCCCGCCGGCGAGTTCCCGGAGATTCGGCGATGGGCAGGGCATGCCGTGTTCTTCGCCCTGCCCCCGCCGCCGGAGTTCTTTTTTAGCTTCTCGCCGGAATTGCGGACGGGCTTTGTGATGATGGGAGGGAGGTCGATTTTCGAGACGGTTAGCCCGTCGAACTTCTCCGGCGGCGCAGTGGCGGGCCGGGAGACGAGTTCCGGCAGGAGGGAATCTTTCCCGGAGGAGGAGGAGGAGGAGGTGCTGTCGAGGGGAGAATTCGGGAAATCTTCCGGGGTGGAATCGGCCGGCTTAATCGTCCAGACGGACTCAGTCGACGGCCGGAAGCTGCAAGTGGCGGAGGAAGGCGGAAGCAGCCTAGGAGTCGCCGTCCGGCTGCTCCTCCGGTGGGTGCTCCTCCGCTTCTTGGCGGACTTCCTCGGCGGATCGAACGCCTGAGGACCGTTCGGGTCCCTCGGAAAGTGGTAGGATTTTCTCTGGGGCTGGCCGCCGGTGACTCTGCCTGAGGCGGGCAGTGAAGAAGACGGCGCCGTTTGAGTGGTATGATTCATTCTGCTTTTTTTGCCCATGTTCTTAAGCTTGTAGAACAGAGCATTTGGTAGTATATCAGACAGGCTAAACTTGTAATTTCCCATATCTCTCTCAAACTGATTCTTACTTTGATGGGGGCCTAAGGAGAGAAGGACTATATAAAGAGGAAAGTACGTGGAGGGAGAGGGGGAGTGGGGTCCATTTAAGGAAGAAAAATGTGTCCCAAAAAAGAGAAAGTAGGGAGATAGAGTAGGGTCGGTAAGGGTTGAAATGAATGAAAGAAATTATGGCTTTGGTCTATTTTTGATAAACTTCATCCAGCTTTTATTCAAAATTGACCTCATTTTGATCTGAATGAGCTCCGCCCGAAACCTCCTTCAGAACCCGTAGAACAATTACCATAATCTAAATCAAGCTTTAATCACATATTGACTTGTAAAGAGTGAAAATATTTGCCTAATAATTACAAAGATATATGTTTGGCATAATTGTCTGCAGCGCAGTTGTCATTAATGAAACTCGAATATCTCCACCTAGACACTAAGAGCATCTCCAACCCATATCGTATATGGTAAAATTTACACTATATGCAATATACTATTCATTTTTTGAGACTCCAATAGATAGTGTAAACCAAAGGTTAAAAAACACTATAGTGGAAAAAACAATTCCCAACTTGTATATATACAAGATGATGCAAACCAAATGCTAAAATAATTATTTCAATATTTAGTTTTAAATAATACTAAAAATATTATTAATAGATTGGTTACATTATGCACATCATAAATGTGAGTATAATCAAACTAAAAATTAAACATATAAATAACTTAAAATAATAAAATATTATAAAAATGTATTATATAAAAGATATGGTTGGAGTGAGTATAAAAAAGTGAATGTGTAAAACACTGTTGATAGTGTAAAATAAATTTTACACTATCATTTTTTCCACTATAGGTTGGAGATGCTCTAAGGCCTTACAAATTGTGCTATGCTCTCGACATACTAAATTAATGTTAATAGGAGTTCATTATTATAAATTCATTGAGAGTACAAATATGAGATCGTTTATTAAGCACTAGACTCATAATATCAAATGTAGAGACAAAACATTTATTATTTTTGAAATACTCTGTATCAAGAGTGTGGTATTCTTACCAAATGTTCTATGGTCAGACCTAAAGTTCACATAGACTCTCCCAAACATTTTTAAAAAAAATTACTTATTTCCACGCTTAAGAAATGTTTATCTAACATATATGAAGGTCCACCAAAGACATAATGAGTCTTAAGTCCATGCCAGAATTTGCCCTTCTCACCGCAGGAGAAGGGAATATAATCATATTATAAGCTTTGGGTTGCTAATCATGATCTATACTTAGCTTAACTAATTACACAAAGCGTACTCTATCAGGTCTTATCAGTTGTAATGGAAGGATCTACGTTTGATACTGCACACTATGAAAGGAGTCGAATCGACCGCTAGACATGTGTGCCATGGGCATGCATGTCATTACTTCACCTACCTTACCAATAGTGTCATCATTGTAGTCATTTAGCCCCATCATTATCTTTATGTGTTCAATGCTGCACATCTCCGTAAACGGGCAAACCAAATCTTGCACAATCCCTAGGCAGATTTCAACCTTAGCTTTAAAGAGGATGCCATTCTCCTCTTGAAGCTATTTACCGCTTCTATCGACTCGAATCCATTTGCAAAAGTTTTCTTGCACCCCCCCAAGTTCACAGTTCTCTTATCTTCTTGATCTTAAATTTCTTCATCTTTTTCACTCCATCCTCTCAATATCATGGCGCGTAATGCACCTATCTATGTGAATGCCCTTATAGATCTCTCAAGTCCACTGTTAGTGATGAGGAAGTCAAGGAGATGCAACATTAGCTCAATGATCTCTGAACAAAAAATTGCTACCCATCTATGAATAAAATATGGTGTATAACCTATATCCTAAAGGTCACATTGGTGTGAGGACCTTCGAATGATCAAAAATTTTAGAGGAAAGCAAAGAGAAGGAAGGGACAGAGGGTTACCTTGTTAAAGAGGTAGAGGATGTTTAGAGCTTCGTACTCTATCAGGTCTTGTCACGCGGGGTTCACTCCTAGTCTCCATAACCTAACTGCAACTTTGATGTATTCCCCTTGGCAGAGGGCCGTATTTCCAGGTCGTCACAACTTACTATGAGATGCACGTCCCCACGAATGGCCAAACCAAATCTTGCACATTCGTTGGGCGGATTTCACTCTTTAAATATGATGTTGATCTCCCACTGAAGCTCTTTACGATTTCGCTCAACTCCAATTCCTTTGCAAAATTCTTCTTGTGCTCCTAAGTTCACAATTCTTCAATTTTCCAGAACTCAAATTTTGTCAACTCTTTCACACAATTCTCTCAATCTAATGGCGTGTAGTGCTACTATCTTTATGAATTCCACTTATAGGTCTCTCAAGTCCACTTTCGGTGATGAGGAACTCACGGATATGTGGCATTACTTTAATTTAGGGATCTCGACATGATTGGGTCCCCCCCCACCGATGAAGAATGTATGGTGGATAACCTAGATCTTAAGGGTGAGATTGGCTTGAGGACATTTGAAAGATCTGAAATGTTCAATGCAAGTGAAGAAATAGAAGGAGCAAATTAAAGAGTTACCTTTTCTTAATAGGCATAGGATTTTTAGGGCTACAAATGTGGTAGAAGGTGAAGCTTTTTAAACATCATTATAGTCAACGACCTAGTAGTTCCGAAGGATCTTCCTTAATGAGTCAAAACCTATATTTGGAAGCCAACAAGTGGTCTTCTATATTTGGCGTATTGTTAAAAAGCTCCATGAATGAGATTATAGAACTATTGCAGTTAAGGGAAGGATGACCCTACTACACGATTCAGATCCTCCCCTCCAAACATTGCAAGATTCTTCGTAGGGTAGCTTTTTAGTAAAAACACATATAAGGTAACAAGTTCTAGAGTTCTAGCGCCTTGCTCTAGGGTAGGTTTGATAATAAGCTCACTCTCTGAAGTTTTTGATATAGACCCACGAGGGAGAAGAATGAGTACTTGTTTTCTTTTAGCGCTTTGAGTCCTAACCATCCTCTACAATGATGCACTTTCTTCAAGGTTTAGTAGCGACTAGTCATGTAAAACATAATAGGTCGAAATTTGTTTAAAGAAGAAGTTAAAAAGATAAAGTAGAAAAAACATAATTCAAGATGATTCAAATTGAAAATCCTCTACTAGGCTGTTGAGGATAATAGCTTGAAGGCACCTAGCTAGATTGGTGGTAGAAATTTGAAGACCCCCAACAGGCTCAATGGGGATGGGATTTAGAATAAACGAGAGGGAAGTTGCTCGGGTACGTTGCGACATAGGTGTCATTTCTCTCACCTAAGAAGTGGTTGAAGATGGTGAAGGTGTCAAACATAGTGGGATCATCCACCTGCCTATAACGGCGGATGAATGAGAGAAAGTAAAAAAGGTATTGAAGGTTAGTTGAATAGGCACAGTTAGATAATGCCTTAAAATGTAACAAAGAAGGGGGTGGAACAAGTAGATGGAATCAGCTCAAACGAAGTGGAAGCTGGCAAAGACAGGGATTGTAGGATCTGGGTTATCCACCATATTTTAATTTCTTCATCATCACGACGCCAAATCATGCAAAGTTTGTAACACCCTCATCCGTCCAGGTGTACACCCCATTTGGGATTTAAGTAAAAATTTGGTAATTGTAAAATCTAAAACATTTCAAACATTTTTATTATCACCAAATACTATTTATAACAAAAATAGTACAAAGTTTTTAATATTGCAGAAGCTTAACAAAATCATAATCACAAAATATAATTAATTCATAACTTTTGAAGTAATAATCTAAAACCATCACATCCATCTCGACAATCTCACCCCCATCTACCGCCATGATCACGTCACATCATTCTTTCTTTTACCTGCATGTAGCAAATAAAACATACTATACGCTCAACGGTGAAGCTTAGTAAGGATATTTAATGTACCGAACATCCATATAAATTGAATCTCAATTCATAATCAAATCATTTAATATCATGCACATAATATTCAATTTGGATATTTAATATTTATAATATCAACAGTGCTCTCAAACTATTCTTAATCTCAGGCCAAATTATAACAATGCTCTTTAAACTATTCTTAGTCTAAGACCAAAATCATATTGATAATTGAGCTCTCAAACTATAATTAGCTTAAGTCAAATATTTTTAACCAGGCATCTTAAACTATAATTAGTTTAAGAAAGAACACAAGAATCAATGACCCAACCTACGAGTCTTATGTATAACACTCATAACCAAAGAGCAGACTAGTCACCATCGGGTTGAGTGGTACCCCCAAATGAGTAGGTACTGAAGTTTGGTTTTTAGACTCCGTACGTATGTTTTAACCATGGCCACCAGGAACCATACCCGCAAGGCCTAACTAAATTGGTCACATGGGTATATCTTAGAATTCTTTTAGATACCCTTAAAAATCAATATCATTTACATAGTCATTATTTAAATCAGGATATTTCTGTTTTTAATCATGGTTCAATAATCATAATCAATAACAACATCATAATATTTCATAACAAACAGCGGCCTAGCATCGAGTGTTAACACCTTAGCTTACCGTCATGCATCACACAAGATTCCTAGATTGGTCAAAATATCTAATTTATTTTCAAAAATAGGATTTTATAGCCTCAAAGGCAGTTTTTTCATCATGGAAAATGTTTGTGACGGTCGACCGTTACCATCGGAAGGCCGACCGTTACCCCTAACGTCATTTGTTTGAAAACTGGGCACCAGATGGTACCTTGCTACCGTTCCAGCGGTAAATGGCTACTGGATGGTAGACCGTGAGGCGGGACGGACGACCGTTCAAACGGTACCTTTCTACCGTACCGACAGTAGCTAGTTACCAGACGACCGTGCTACTATTCATCATCTTCTTCCTCGAATCATTTTTTCAAAACACCATTTTAAGTCACCAAACTTCAATTAAATTATATAGAAATGTTTTTCAAGGTTTATATATCATTTTGGTATCAATAATTCAATGTTTTAACAATAAATTCAAGGTTTATGATTATTGGTTCTTCAAGCATGTCAAACACAAAACTCAACCAAGCGACCGTTTATGAACGTAAAAACGATCTATATGAACATTCTAATCACTAGATATATCTAAGGGCTTACCTCGATTTAAATTGGAGGATTTTGAAAAATTATTGCGAAACTTCTAGCGAGGATTGCTAC